ACCCCTGGATTGGTCGGGGCCCGACCAGCCGACCGTTGTCGGATGGTACGCCCCTACCGGGCGGGGGTCGATTGGCACCCCGCAAAAAATACAACGTACGGTCATTATAGCTGAATTTAGACTGAAAGATGAACCAAATTCAGCTATGATGACTGTGCGTTGTATTCGGGGAAAGACTGTAGTCTGTCTGCCTCGGAAGGGTCTTTTTCTCACAGCCAGAACAACTGCGCATTTCTTAAAAGGAAAAAAAAAAAAAAAAGTGTTCGTGTAAGCACGCGAGCAGCTGGAAGAACACAGCGAGAGAGAGACAGACAGACCACGTTGATAATAAAGTGATATTAAAAAAAAAAAAAAAAAAAACAGACGAAGGACGGTTATTCTCTCTTTTCTTTTTTTTGAATTTTTTTGAATTTTTTTCCCTTTTTCCTCATCACGTTCCAGCATTGGGATTCGTATTTCAACAGTTCATGGGATGGGTGTACCCACTAAGCTACCTTCTTCCCCCGAATACAACGTACGGTCATTATATCTGTATTTGAGACATATTTCCGTCTAGATACAGCTATAATGACCGTACGTTGTATTCGGGGGAAGAAGGTAGGCTGTTGGGTGTGTTCTTTTTTTTTTTCTCTCTTTTTTTCTTTTTTTCCCTGCTTCCTTTTTTCTTTTCTAGATTATCAGCGTGAAAAGAGTTCGTGCCCGTACTCGTATTTTTTTTCCCCCCTTTTTTTCTTTTTTTTTCTTTTTTTTCTTTTTTTTTCCTTTTGTTCCCTTTTTTTTTCCTTTTTTTTTCCTTTTTTTTTTCCCTTTTTTTCTTCCTTTTTTTTTGTTTTTAAGGGTCGGCAAAGCGTGCCAACCCTCTATTGGAGGGTTCAGAAATTCTGCCAGCCAGCCATATGTCTTGATGTTCATGCAGTGCACGGCTTAAACCATGCATGGCATATATAGCCAACAGGCCATTTTTTTCTTCTTCTTTTTCTTTTTTCTTTTTTCTTTTTTTTTCCTTCTTTTTCTTTTTTTTTCCTTTTTTTTCCCAGATTATTATCAATTTATCAGTTTGAAAAGAGTTCGTCGTACTCTTTCTCGATGTACGTTTGTCATCCTTGCGCCGTACTCGTGTTCACCTACTGTGAGACCGCTTTTAAAAATCATAATCATAATAAATAATAATTAAAAAAACACTGCGTGCCAGACACTGTGAGGCCGTACTCGTGTTCACCTACTGTGAGACCGCTTTTATCTCGAATCAACCCCCTGACGAGATCGCTAACTGGCAGCAGTCGAAACTAGTTGGGGTATGCCAGACACTTCGCTCTTCAGATTTACACTCTGTTCTGGCGGCGAGGAGGGAAGTGACGCCATAGCTTATGCTATGACTACGGAACATCATTGTTATTTCTGGTTATTAAGAACCGATTCGAGATTTCTTCGTGCATACTTGTGCCGTGGCTATCACGGTTATGCGTCAGATGTGGACTTATTCCATCTGCAGTTTCTCACTGCGTGCCCACAGACGGACGGTCGGCTTAGCTCAGTCAGACCACACCCATAAACTAACTAACTGTTGAAATGCACACCTGAGTTCGAATCCAGATGGCATCCGATGAACCATATTTCCGTAATTTCCTAGGGCCGGTCAGTCTCACGATGATATCAGATCTCACGGCTGTCAACCCTTTCTGTTTTTTTTTTTGTTTTTTTTTTTGTTTTTCTTTTTTAAAGACTGTCAACCCTTTATAAAAGAGGAGAGAAAAAAAAAAAGAAACTGTGTGGCCGCAGTGACCGCTCGACTCAACTATCCGCCGCCATGTCCGTTAAAAAGCCAAGTAGGGAATTTTTATTTTTTTTTTGTGGGGGGGGGGGGGGGGGGGGGGGGGGGGGGGGGGGGGGGGGGGGGGGGGGGGGGGGGGGGGGGGGGAAAAGAGTAAAGATTAAAATTGGAATTTGACCAAAAAAAAAAAAAAAAAAAAATCACGAATGTTGAACCCTAAAGAACGGGGATCACTCACACTATACACTCCCTAATTATGTACTCTCTCTCCCAAAATGGGCCATGCGGATCTCTGCGTCTGTGTCCCACAAGGGGCCATGCGGATCTCTGCGTCTGTGTCCCACAAGGGGCCATGCGGATCTCTGTGTCTGTGTCACTTCCGATTTTATCAATTGTCCCCGATAGATTCCTAGTGCTAGAAAAAAAAAAAAAAAAAAGATTCCTGGTGCCCAACAACGACTGCGATATATGGGCACCGATTACCACCCCCATTTCTTGTCGCTCCCTCCCTACATAACCGAGTCTTCGTGCTTCCTGTTTTTCAGAGAGAAAGAGAGAGAGAGAGAGAGAGAGAGGGTAGGCTTCAGCATTAAGGTATATTCCACCAGGACTTGAATGCGTAACCTGTTCGTCAACAGTTGGATGGATGTGCCACTTAGCCACACACTGCTTCCTGTGTTTCTCCACGCGAGGTAGAGAACATACCATGACTATACCTGTCTCCCTAATCCTTTCTTCTATCCCTCCCTCCCTCCCTCCCTCCGTCTCACACGCTGAGAGACGTCGACAAAAGAATCTCTATGCAAGCTAGCGGTGGAATACACAGTGATGTATCTGATGATCTTTCCTCCCTCCCCCTTCCCTGCCTCCCGCTCTCTCACACGCTGAGAGACGTCGACTAAAGAATCTCTATGCAGAACACTCCATAAAGATGCAGAGCGTCCGTATCTGATGATATGTCCCCGGGCAGAGGGCATACGAGCTCGCTCGCGCGGTGATGCCCTGCACCACAATCTCAACACAGACTCTCTCTGGCAAATAGCTCTTGGCGTTCTCTATCCCATCCCTTCCCTCTCCCGGCGCTCACATCTTCCTCCCCCCCCCCTTCCTCGGGAGCGTACACCCACCCCTCCCTCCGCTGTGCACTCTCTCCCATGCACATGCAAATTTACATACGCAACAGTGCCGTAGCACTGGCAGACACTATGGTACATACAATATTCACAGATATAACTTAGTACATACATACAACTGCACATGCAGTATGCAAAATCAATAATCTCGTCTTCAACGACAACCCAAAGAAAAAAAAAAGAAAAAAAAAAAAGAAAAAAAAACAAGGATTACGATCTCAAACGCCTAACAACAATCTCAAATCCGCCAAATGGTACAAACTCTACCTCTCTACATTTCTACATTCCACGTTTCAACATTCGCCTCCTAATTTCGTCGTATCAAAATCGACTTCTCTACACTTCCAATTTTCCACCTCTGACGGCACTCCCTCTCTGTCTCCGTCTCCGTCTCCGTCTCCTCCCCTCTCAGAGCAATCTCTCTTAACTCTTACACACGCTACAGATGCCTAAAAGAATACGCAATACGAATGCCTGGCTACAAGAGTGCCCACCAAAGGCTACAGAAATGCCTAAAAGAATATGCAGTACGAAGTACGAATGCCTGGGTGGAGCCTGGGTGGAAGAGTGCCCAGCAAAGGCAAAGAACTACTATCTAGCCGAGATGGACGGAAAAAAAAAAAAACGAAAAAACATCGGATTGGTCGGAATCGTCTTCAGGGGCATCACTGCAATGGAGCAAGGCTCCAACAACGGAACAGAATGCCGCGACTCTTTAAAGTTTAAACAAAGAGAAAGCAAAGCTAAGGAAAAGGAAAGGGAAGCGAAGCAAAAGGAGATCTCTCTGTCGTCATTCTCGAATGGCGATGTAGCCACCTCAGTGAACAAGGAACCATTGTTCGCATCAAGTGGGAGATCAGAGGAGGGATTGTGTCCCATAACCGTCGCAGCATTCTGCGACAAGAAACAACTTATTACCCTGACGAGTGTGCGTATTCACTCCTGTCATCCACGTCGCTTCCCATCCCTCGTAGCGAGTAAACAGATACCGAAGACGTGACACGACAACGTCCGATAAAAGCGAAGACTTTCTCCGCTGCTGCATTGGCTCCGCAGGACTACTCTTCCCCCGCGACCGAGCTTGGTCTAGAACACCTGCAGCATGTCAGACCATCCAGACGAGGAGGAGTAGCAACGGAATGCAGAACGCCAAAGGAACTGCCCGTTTACGAGCTATGACTTTTCTTTTTTTTTTTATGAAATTGTCTTGCTTCCGGAGCTGAGGCGCGCAGAAGAAACTAAGAAGAATGCCTTCCATTTCTGGAAAAAGGACTGACTGATGATGCAATCCCTTCTGCTTCCCGAAAGGATCGACTGCCGCATAGCACAGGAGAGAGCGGACTCAACGAGTCCCAACAGACCTCTGCCTCTGCCTTTCAGGAAATCTTCTCCCCTACCTACCTTAATTACAATATCCGAACTACTCCCTCCCGTCACTTCCTTTTAACCAAACTGCCCCTCTCTCTCTCTCTCTCTCTCTCTCTCTCTCTCTCTCTCTCTCTCTCTCTC